GCGGGCGGGCGGGCGGGCGGCCGGGCGGGCGGGCGGGCGGGTGTGCGTGCGTGTGTGCGTGTGTGCGTGTGTGCGTGAGTGCGTGTGTGCGTGCGTGCGTGCGTGCGTGCGTGTGTGTGTGTGGGTGTGTGGGTGTGTGGGTGTGTGGGTGCTTGGGTGCGTGCGTGCGTGCGTGCGTGCGTGCGTGCGTGCGTGCGTGCGTGCGCGCGCGCGCGTGTGTGTGTTTTGTGTTTGTGTGTTGTGTTTGTGTGTTGTGTGTGTTGTTGTGTTTTTTCCCACGGTTGAACGGTCCACGCGGTGTCGGGAACCAACGCCGAGGTCGTCACGACACGAAGCTGCCGTAAGTTTCTGGAGGTCTGCGCCGATCCCAAGACATGCCCCGATCTGCGAAATAATATGTTAAATGCAGCTTCTTGTTCCTAGCCCCTAAGCGGCCTCAAGAGAGGCTCGAGAGGGCCCCAGCGGATCTTGGGAAAGTCGGTTCGCGATGCTCGTTGCATGTGCCACGAACACGGCGGCGCCCGAGTTTCTTCTCGGACTTGACAGCGCGCCAGGATTTCGACTCCCCCCACACACACACACACACACACACACACACACACACGCACACACACACACACACACACACACACACACACACGCACACACCACCGTGCACGAGGCGGCATTGCAGAAACAGAGAGGGCTGGCGAGATTGATTGCGACAGACGCGCAGAATCCCTAGACGGATCCTGTCGTGGTTACAAGAGCCCCGAAGCAGGCCCCTCCAAAAGCCATATATATATATATATATATATTATATAATATATATCAAATTCCTACTGCCGTCTCCTGCTCATGCTCCTGCTCACCGCCCCGCTCTTCCTTCTCCTCATCGTCCTCCCCAGACCTCGCACGACTCGAGTTGCTCGAGCCGCCGACCTCAAGATTCTTTAGGCTTACGCCACAGCCGCCGACCCCTATATAAAGCACTGCGCCTCCAGGACTGCATTTCACGAGGCTTGTCCGAATCATGACACGGCGCTCGACATCGTCCTCAAGATCTCTCGACCTCTCCATCAGCACCGCCCGCCAGCGCGATTTTTCGACCAGGTTTCCCCCCCCCCCGAAGGTTCTGGGACGGACAGGAGCCGAAGGCAGTGGAGCATCTCATAAGCCCGCAAACCAGGCTCCCACGACACACTCTGGGACCCCCGTGGGGCCTGCCTGCTTGGGGCCCTCCCTTGAGCGCGAAGGCCTCCTCCTCCTCTTCCTTCTCCTCCTCCTCCTCCTCCTCCTCCTCCTCCTCCTCCTCCTTCTCGTCCCCTTCCTCCTCCTCCTCCTCCTCCTCCTCCTCCTCCTCCTCCTCCTCCTCCTCCTCCTCCTCCAGGAGAGGGGTCGGGACCCTAGGGTCCCCCTGGCGCAGGCGGGGAGCGCCGGGCCCGAGGGGCGAAAAGCCCCCGCACCCCGGGAGACGCCGCCAAAGTGCGGTTTCCTTCCCCCGGGGGGGTCGCCAGGTCCCGTGGCCTCCCCCAGGGCGGTGCTGGGTCCCCCCAGCGCTCGCCGCCTTGGGGCGGGACCGGCGGCTCGTCTCTGTCGTGTCGTTCGTCCGTGTCGTGTCGTTCGTGTCGTGTCGTCCGTTTCGTCCCCCCGTCGTGTCGCGTCGTGTCGTGGTCCCTTTTTTTTTGGTTCGGTCCTGGGGGCCCCGGGGTCCGAAACCGCGGCCACCTATGGAGTAGGTGGTGGGTAGGGTGGCGTCGGAGCACGGCTCTGGCGCCCCCTACCCCGATCAGGGAGCGCGGAGCACGGTCTCCTTGCGTTCCCTGGTCGCGCTCGGGGCGCGCCACGGGGGCATGGCCCCGACTGTGGCGCTGCCCCTGCAGTCTCAGCCTCCTGGCTGTGCTGCGTGGCGTTGAGCTTGCTCATCGGAGTCCGCCAGCTCGCTGGCGTTGTGGTTGTTGATGTTGAAAAAAATCCTCCTCCTCCTCCTCCTCCTCCTCCTCCTCCTCTTCCTCCTCCTCCTCCCCCGCTAGAGAGGGCTCTCTGTCCGACCCCTGAACTGACCGAGAATGGCTCGCGGCCACTGGACATGGTGGGCCCCGGCTGGCATGTTCACCGGCGCCCATTCCACTGATTGCACCCCGGGTTTAGAGAGCCGATGCACTACGGTCACGCGCAGAGAGAGGGGCACGGGGAGGGGGGGAGCCTTCTTAGAAGCACCCCTGCGTCTCAGAAGGCGCGGGCCTTGTCTGCGAATGTAGGGCCCGGCGCCTTCTGAGAAGCAGCCTCCTTCCAGGATGCCTTGGGTCCCCCCCCCCCCCCCCCTGCTCCCCTGAGCGCGCCGCCAGGTATCACGGTCAGGAACTTTGGCTCAGCATGTCGCTCCCAGGTTCTGGACCACCACGCCTCGGTGCGGCACGCCATCCGCTTCCCGGTCGCCAGGCTTCAGCGCCCCGAGCCTTTCCGAGCCGCTCGCCCCGCGGAGCGGAGCGACACGCTGTCCGCTTCCAGGGCACGGCGTGTCGCCCGGGCCGCCACCGCGACGGGCTGTCCAAAAGTTGTTGACCGTGGTGTGTATTCAACAGTGCGGGATCCCAGGGAGTCCCGACGCGTTCCCCAGCGCTCGCTATTCCTCTTGGGCTCTGGGCCGTTGTTGTTGACGGCCCTGGGTCCCAGTAAGGGCCCCCAGACGCCGAAAACGGCGAACCGGAGCCTGTACCAGATTGATATTTTCCAGGCGTCGGCGATCGTGGGTGGTCACGAAAGGGGGGGACAGGGAAATGGGGATTGCGTAGTCTTTTGCGTGCAGTTGATTCGCTAACTCCCCCTTTTGCTATCCCCCTTTATCGGGTATGGGATCGATTACAGAATTCATTTACCCCAGAATTGTTGTTTCCCTCGGATCCGCGAAAATATGTAAAATGCTCCGTAGATTTACGGGACAGTCTACGCGTCGTTCGTAGGCTCGATGCACTAATCAAGTTGGGGATAGATCAATCGTCGACCTCCTATTCGACCTTAAGCTCATCCTCCTCCCCCGACTGTTTCGGACGTCCTCGACCGTCGTGGGAGCCTCCAGAGGCATCCGCGGCCAGACTTCCGCGGGGCTCTAGGGCGCTCAGCCGGCAGCTTCTCTGCAGCCTGCCCGGCTTCTTGCCACAGGGCCCCCTCGGTGAGCCTATGCGGCGTCTGAGCACAGTCGGCCGCCGAGCGGACTCGAGATTCCGAGCCCGCTCGGCGGCCAAGCGGGCCCCGTCCCTACGACCCCGCCAGCATTGAGCCCCTTCGGCTGCCCACTCGGCGGCCAACCGGGCTCAGAAGGGGAGCCTTCTAGGCCTCCTAGATGGGGTCGGAGTAGACGGGATCGCGCCGCATCGCCGACGTCGCCGATGCATCGCCGACGTCGCCAGTGCCTCGCCGATGTGTCGGCGATGCGGCGAGATCCCCCGACCCCATCAGCTCGGACCCCATCTGGGAGGCCTCCAGCCCTGCGTGCCTCTGCCCCGCCTCGCGCACCGAGCGCAGCCTCTGCTCAGCACGCGGCCCACGGCCACAGGACATGTACATCGACTCCCTGCGCATCACGGGCAAGTGGGCGGACGACAAGAGGGCGGGGGGCATCAGCTTCTCCGCCGGGGAAGAGAGCCAGGCACCGAGAGGGGCTGGGACACGGGCCTGGCGCCACGAGCAATCGACGCCAGGCTTTGCCTTCTGGCTTGATGGAGGGGAGGAGAGGGGAGGAGGAGAGGGGAGGAGGAGAGGGGAGGAGGAGGAGGAGGAGGAGGAGGAGGAGGAGGAGCAGGAGCAGGAGCAGGAGCAGGAGCAGGAGCAGGAGCAGGAGCAGGAGGAGGAGGAGGAGGAGCTTCCTCGCCCTCCTCATTCCGCCCCCGACCTGCCCTTCATCATCCTGGAGCCGCTCGCCGCGGCGTGAGACATACAGACCCTGCTTCGCAGCGCCAGACAAAAAAAGAGGAAGGGGCGGAGGACGAAGCATCCCACGAGGGAGCACGGAGCACGGAGGACACAGGAGGCGGGCAGGAGGCGGAAGGCAGCCAACAGGAGGCACGGCTTCGGAGGCAAAAGGCACAAGGCTGGAGGCGGCACAGTGGGGGCGCGCATCAAGAAGCCAGATGCCTTTCGTCAGGGTGTCCTGGGTTTCTTTGCTCCTCGCGCTGCGCGGTGACTCCCCGCAGCCGCTGGAGGAGCTGCTGCGTTCCGGGTGCTTTGGGCTTCCCCTCGGGTGTACCTCGCGCGCGGGTTCTCAGGGTTGGGCTTCTTGCGAGGCTTTCTCGCGGCCGCGCCCGCACTGTAGGGCAGCATACTCAGGCGACGGGCCTGAAGCAGGAGCAGTCCACGGCCAGTGGCCGTGGCAGTTCGGCGCCAGCCCATGGCACAGGCGACCCCCCGCCCTGCCCCCGCCACGCAGGAGAAGCACCCCTCCGAAGGCGCCTTCGGGCTCGGGCCCCCGCTTCTGCCCTCGGCCCTGCGACCGCGGCCCTCGACCGCAGCCGCCGCGACCACCGCCACCTGGCCGCGCCTTCCTCCCTCCTCCTCCTCCTCCTCCTCCTCCTCCTCCTCCTCCTCCTCCTCCATCCTCCTCCTCCTCCTCCTCCTCCTCCTCCTCCTCCTCCTCCTCCTCCTCCTCCTCCATCCTCCTCCTCCTCCTCCTCCTCCTCCTCCTCCTCCTCCTCCTCCCTCCTCCTCCTCCTCCTCCTCCTCCTCCTCCTCCTCCTCCTCCTCCGCCTCCTCCTCCTCCTCCTCCTCCTCCTCCTCCTCCTCCTCCTCAAACTGAGAGAGGCCCCACGCTCAGCGAGGTCGGCTCTGCCGGACCGTCCGCCGCGGCTTCGGGCTGCTGCGAGATGCCATCCCCGGTCCTCTCCACCGAGTGGCGCTCAGCCAGCTCGTCGTGGCTTCGCCCCGAGGCCCACTCGGTGTACTGGAGGGCGGCCTCCGCCACAGCCCTGGTCCTGGTCGCACGCGCAGCTGCCTTTGATCCCCACCAGCAGCTCCTCGATTCCATGATCTGTGCTCAAGATATTGTCCATCGCCTCGTCCGCGATCAAGGTTTTACCTGTTGCCGGATCACAATCGACACTACTGTCCTATGTCTCGGTACGGCCCCATATCCTATGTCTCGGTGCGGCACCCATCCGCGCATGCGTCCGCGTATGCGCCGTGCAAACATATTGTGTGGGGGATGTGGGTGTTCTTGTTTGTTGTCATTGCCGGCCGCCGGCCGCGCCCGCGGCATCACCGCGGCCTCCGTTGCGTAGGCCACAACATGGGCCTTCACGTTCGCCGGTCAGCCCACGCCCACAGCGTGGACGTCAGTCCAGGGGGTGTTGACGGCTCCGCAGGGCCACGCGCGCATGATTTCTTGTATGTTGCGACGCGACTATCAAAACTCCCGCCCGTCATTTTGAGGCCCTTCTCAATGCGTTCTCCCAGACTGGCACAACTCGTTGCCCAAGTCGTTCAATTGAAACGCGCTGAACAAAGTTGTCCTCGCGAAAGTCCCGATCACACACAGCTGCGAGTATCGCGAGGCACTTCAAATGCAGGAGCGGGGCCAGCGGCAGAACTGCGGCGTGGATGAGAATGAGAACATCAGACAGGGGCTCGCGTGCGCCGCCGTTTCGTGCCCATTTGCTTCCCAGTTTTGTTCCCCCTCCTCGTTTTCGACGTGCGCTGCGTTCCTCCCCGTCTGGCCCGCGGCGGCCCGGGCCCCAGGAACCGTTGGTTCGTGCCCACTCCCTTCCCCCACGCGCTCCCCATCTTTAACTCTCCCCCCTGGTGGTCAAGATCAGGGGCAGAGTTCCGCGCGGAGTCCCCGCGACGCGCGCCGGCCGCCCCGAAGGAGTCCCTGCGACGCGCGCGGGTCGTCCGGGCACAGAGCCGCCAAAAATTCGAGCGGTTGACAACGGGCGAGGCGCTGGGCAGAGTACGAGGGAGTCGGGCAGCACCTGGAGGCAGAGCGCCGGGGAGTCCCCGCGACACGCGCTGGCCGACCCGAGTAGATGTCAGCGACGTGCGCAGATCGTCCGCGGCGCGGCCGTAGGAAAAAAAACGAGACCGCTTCTCAGGCAAGACATAGCGGAGGAAATTGCCGAAACTTAGCTGAACTGAGCTTGCCACCTTCCTGCGCCGCCGAAACCTAGCTGAGCTGAGCTTGCCACCTTACTGCGCCGTTTCGTGCTCGTCGCAAACTGCCCCTGCTGCTTCCGCAAGCCCACCTGAGGCCTTGTTGGGAAGAACTCGACGCGTGGCGCCCGCCTGAGCAGGAGGCGCTCGCGGTGCGCGGCGCGCGAGAGGAGCGCGCAGAGTTCCAACCGCCAGTCGTCGTCCCCTTTTGCTCGTTTTCCTGACCTCGCGGGGGCCGCAGTCCACAATCACGCTTGGGCGATGCCGGCCGACAGCGGCGCGCTTCACCGCCGACAGTCTAGGGCGAGAGCCCACAGGACCTCGAAGGTTTGGCTGCAGACCGCTTACGCCGTAGACTGCCCAGGAGCGCCAGTCACTCGCCTGGCCGCGCGTGCCGAAATAGACGCGGCGCCGCCACGCGGACCTTGCAATTGGGACCTTCGGCGCAGCTCTCTTTGGAACTACGAAACGTGCGAGCGGTGTGCCGAAATGCGCGCGGCGCATGTGGGCTCTGCGGTTGGGGCTTTCGGTGCAGCTCCCTATGGGGCCAGGAAACGTGCGAGGCCGTTAATTATGAACGCGGTGGCGCCACACGGGCTTTGCCGTTCTGCTTGTTTTGGTCGACGGAAGGCCTCATGTTCTCAAGGGGTGTTGTTGTTGGCCCAGGTCCGACTGTTTGTCCCTCCCTCCAATTTTTTCGTTCGCGCTTTCTCTCCGCGGACAGGTCGGAGGACACTGGTTGGAGTTCGGGAAGCTGCAGCTCAAAGTCGTGCACGGCACCACAGTCACGGGCGTAAAGTACCTCAACGTGCTCCTCAAGCATTTGACCAAGGCTCGCTGCCAGGGATAGCCGGGGGGGCAGACCGAGGGATAAGATCGAGGCCGGTTCGGGGAAGGTGCATTCATGTGCGTCGTGTGTGTTGGATGTTTTTGCGCATCCTAGGGATGACCCTTCGATAATCTGATAGGATGATCGGACTGTTTGGGTTAACGGAATGTTTCATGTTCTGGAAGGGCTTTCTTCTGGCCGAGGGAAGAGGGATGACGATGATGATTCTGAGATCATCGAACATGAGACGGAGACTTGATGCGATTTCCATGTATGTGCGTGGCGAAGTACGTGTTGATGTCGTCGCGATTGGCAAGGGCAATCAATTAGCCTTCTGTTGTCCACCCAAAGCCCATATACATTATACATGTCTTCATCCTCCCCTTCCGCATCACGAGCCTTCTTTCCAGTGGGAGCTACACATGTTCTTGAAAACAAGAGGAGGCGGGCTGAGCGCCCGTGCCAATCCCAAGATCATCAGAAGGGCACGTCGGGTGCGGAGGGGACTCGCATCAAGAAAGCAGGTGCTTTGCGTCGGGGTACTAAGGGTTTCTTCGCTGCGCGCGCTACACGGTGATTGCCCGCGGGTGCTAAGAGACCGCAAAATATTCCCCCCCCCAGGTGCACTTTGCGGGCGGAGTATGAGGGTTTGGTTCCTTGCAAGGGCCCCTTCCTCTTTTTCATGTTCCTGCTCCTCGTCATCCTTTTCCTCCTCATCATCATGATCGTCATCACCACCATAACTAGGCATCAACATGACCACCAGCAGCGTCAGTATCATCACCATCGTCATCGTCATCTTCGACATCAGCATCAGCACCATAATGATAATCATCATCATCATCATCATCATCATCATCATCATCATCATCATCATCATCATCATCATCATCATCATCATCGTCATCGGCGTGACCGTCGTCACCGTTACCATCATCATAATCAGCAAACGCAACAGCATCATCATCACTAGCACCATCAGGATCAGCATCAGCATCATCACCGGCATCGGCACCTCCACCATCATCATCACCAGCATCACCATCATCAGCAGCAGCATCATCATCATAATCAACATCAGCATCATCATCATCATCATCATCATCATCACCACCATCACCATCATCATCATCATCAGCAGCATTATCATCATCGTCATCATCATTTGTTCCTTCCCCCACCCCCCGCCTGGACGAATGAGCAGCGAGCGACGGCCGTGAGAAACGACAGGACTGCCGGCCTGGGTGGGCAAGCGCGGCGCGGCGCTTGCCGATGCGAGGGAGGGGGTTGGTTTAGATCCTCCTTCTCATCCTCCTCCCCCTCCTTCTCGCTTTCTCCTCCTCTCCCTCCTGGCAGCTTCCGCCGTCAGGAAGGCCGACGGGCTGGAGGGCGGCGGGCCATCGCCGCGAACAACTGGTGTCTCAAGTCCTTCGGCTCCGGCGGCACTTGCAGAGTGCCGAGATCAAAGAACAAGATGCTGCCATCACTCTCTCCAATGCGGAGGCGGGCAAGAAGGCAGTGACGTTTGGCCTCGCCAAGGCCGAGGGCACCTCGGAGGCCGACGCGACCAAAAAGCATTCGGGCGGCCGGCTTACGCACTTCGGCCTGCACATGAAGGCTGAGGTTTTTTAGTTCGAGTAGGTGCGAGGAGCCCGACAAGGAGTATTTGAGGGAATTGAAGAACGAGTTGCAAGCGATCCAGCAGCAGTTCTCGGCGAGCGAGAAGGAGCTGCGAACTTTCTGCACGAGGGTCGAGACGGCGCAGCGCGAGGTCACGGATGGCAAAGAAGCGCCAAGGCACTGACGCCAATGTCCACCAGGGCGGGGACGCCATGACGGACAGCGGCGAGGGGGCTCCAGCTGGAGGGGCCGCATCAGCTAATAGTGATACAGCCACGGCCACTGCTGCCGCTGAACAGCCCGCAGTCGACGAGGCCGCCTTGGCTCGCGAAGCTGGGCGTATCTCCAAGGCCAGGTTCAAAGCGATGGTGAAGGCCGAGGCGGCCAGGGATAATGGCAAGGGCACGAAGGCAAGCATTGGCGCTGGGAGTTCGGCAGCTTCAGAGCGTTAGGCCGCCAAGCCTGAATGATTATGTACTCCAGCGAGTACCAAGGAGGGCATGGGCCTTCATCTGCATGTTGATCCAACTGCGCATGAGCATTCTGCGGGTCCCGAAGGGCATCTAGGCGAGAGGTATGGCCAGGATGTTGCCTAGCCAGGTGGTGCATCACCAATTGAGTGTCAGCTTTCTCTTATATGTACATCGGAGGGAGCACCTGCCACTATGCAGTTGCCCTTTGGGAACGCATCGTGCACGGGCGATGCTGCGCGGAGCTACTTGCAGCAGGTCAGCAGGGCCCGCGACTACTTGCGCGCGTGCGAGACCCACGCGAACAAGAAAGACCCGAGGAAGTGGGGCGCCAAGGCGCGCGAGTTCCCCCAAAAAACATTCGACAACGGTGCCGGGCCGAAGTCGCGCAACGTCACGAGGGGGCAGTACTTCGCCCATACCAGCGAGGGTGGTAAATTGCCCATTGCTCGCAGTCACTGGCCAGCACAGCAACAACATGCAGCGCGCCATTGCCCAGGCCTGCTTGCAGACAAGGGCAACGCACTGGACGGCCCCATCCCAATCACGGTGGACACGCATGAATTCACACTGGCCCTCTTTGCGTTCCACGGTCTCTTCCATCGGGCTCACCCACGAGAGCGCCGGACGTTCCAAGCAGTTGGGCAGCATGGCTCATGCCGTCCAACTACGATGGATCATCGTGGGCAACTGGAACATGAGCTACACAGAGCTGACCCGCACTGGCTTCGAACCTCGCGAGGGTCGGGGCCCCATTTGGCCGTCGGACGCTGCGTGCACTTGCTCGCCAGGCGGGCAGCAGCGGAGATGCCACATAGCCTGATGTAGGCCTCAGCACAGAGCCTAGCTAGCGGTGGTCAACTGGTCTCTCGCGCTTGAGCAGCTCCGACCTTTGCCCGGCGTTGCCAGGCCCTGAGAGCTGCCGCCCGGGCCCAAGTCTAGCCAGGTTAAGTATGAGAAGAAAGCGGCCAAACGTGCTGCAGGTGAGCGTCGCGACCAGAAGGTTCGCGAATGGCTTCGCGCACATCTCGCAGAAGGTAGTAGCACGTGCAATTGTAGCGAGCCGCATGATGAATCGGGCCGGGCAGGGAGCGAGGCCGAGATGGCCTTCGGCTTCGTCGTCGAGCCGCGCGGCGAGTCCGAGGAGGAGGACCCCTGGCTCCACGAGCCGAACTTCGGACACGCTGCAGCGCCCCCCCCCCCCCCGCCCCCCCGATGACCGGCCTCAGTCGAATTCAGCCCTGCGCGATTCCCAGACGCGCGCTTGCCCCGAGGCCCCCGCTTCGCCCGGGGGGGCTCCGGGGCCCCATGAGATGAGCAAGCCAGTTAATATAAAGTGTGATCCTAGTCCGGAAGGCCCAGGTGCATGCCTTTGAGCATTGGCCCAATGCTTTGGCGCAGCCAAAAACGAGAAGCCGGCTGCCAACCAGCCGACGCATTTCCCCCTGCTGCTGCTTTTCCCCCCCTGTAATTTTCCAGTTGGGCTCGAGCAGTTCGGGCGTCGCTTCAGCGATGCTCGACGCCCGCGCTGCGGAGGCGACAGCTTGCGCGCGCCGCCAGCAGGTCACGTCGCGGCCCCGAGGAGCGCGCCATTCGATCTCCGCGCCATTGAAGCCTGCAGGGGCAAGCCAGCGCGCGACGTCGCCCTCCAGAAGCGCGCGATCGACTGGTGGACTCGCGAATTTGAACAGATATCGCACTATGGCCGCGGGTGGGAAGCAGCAGCGCCTCCTACTCTCGGCAGCGCAGCGTCTTCGGCGGGACGCGCCTGAGCGCGTTCCTCAGCTTCTTCGGCCAGCAGGCCCCCCGCGGGCTCAGCGGCCTGGCCCCCTTGAAGGCCTCGAGGGCCGCCTGCTGGAGGAGCTCAGGTCATCGTCACAACGAGCTGAGATTGTTTCGCGGCTAGCCCAGGCATGGTCAGAGACAGGCATGGTCAGAGTTCCAGACGCGGGTGGAGACGACGCCAGCGGTCAGTTGCCATCACACGGCCATCAAAGAGACACCGCAAGTAGCCGACACACTCGCCCTCGACACCGAGACGATTGCGCACCCGAACGATTTCTGGGACCACAAGCGAGAGCACCAGAAACGCTTCGGGCCACCGCGGGGCAACAGCTGCAAGGGTTGCGCGGGCTCTCCGAAGGCATCCGCGCACGAGCTGCAGATGTGAGTCTACCCTGTTGGGACGGTTGCACGTTGAAGGAGGTTTCTCGTCGCGTGAAGGTCGGCGCGGTCGGTGTGGCCAAGTTGCGGCCGAGCGACGCCTCGCTGCTTCCTGTCGAGGCCCTTGCGGAGTTGGCGGCAAATCTACGTTGTTGCGGAACTCGGCAGGTTTGGCCAAAATCAACTTGAATTTGCCATAGGGGCGTTACAACTCAAGAAGCTGCGCGGCGACCGGTCGCAAGTCTAGCGCCCCGCGTGGAACGCATCTGGTCAGCAGCCAGGGAGCGACGCGCGCCTCGGCAGACCGACGAATGCGAGGACCTCTGGGGCGCAGCAAACAGGGAACGCAGCGATCAGAGAAGTGCTTTTAAGAGCGATCGAGGAAGAATTGGCGGCGAGGCCATCGATGGATGTCGGGCGCGGCCTTATTGACTGGGCAGGTTTTTACGTTGCGATAGGATGGCTGCACACGCGCGCAGCTGGCCGGCGATTTGAATGCCCGCCCGTAACGCAAGGCCTCGAATTGCTGCAATGCATGTCATCACGCTGCGCGACGCAATCGGGCGTTTACGCTGCGCCCTATGTGCCCGCGAGGTCGATGGTGCAGGACTTGCGGGGCCGGACAAGGTTCGCGAAGTGCGTCGCGCGCCGCGCCGCGCGGCGCGTCGCCGCGGCACGCGCGGACATGTCACGCCGTCGATGGGCCGACGACCTCAGCCAGAGTAAGCGAGCGTCCAGAAGAATTAGGATTGCCAAAACGGTCGAGTCACTAGCGGGCAGATGCTCAACTATCTGCCAAGCTGGCTTCGACTTGCCCCCATCAGAGCACTGCGGCTCGCATTCGGACCAGCGACGCCACATCGATCGGGAGGGGCGCGCGACATCGAGGCCTTCGGCATTCAGCGGCTGCGCAAGCAGCAGCGCATCTGGATTGTGATATCGGCGGCGGCAGGCGCTTGGTTCGCGCGACCCGCGCGGCGAGAGCGCAGGAGCATGATCGCATGTTCAGTTTGATCTATTCTTTGCACGCGCGCCACCCGCATGCACTGTCTCACGCGCAGTCCGGAGCTCCAAGGAGCGGGCGCGCACGGTCACAAACTTCGGGCAGCCGGTGGCGCAAATCCAAAAAAGCCAGCCAATGCCAGCCATCCGAGACTGACGGGCAGATGCCTGACTGCGCTTCTCGACCAACGTGGGCGGCGGCGGGATCTGACACACGGTTCGCCGATCAGTTGCTTGCGTTCGTGGTCATCATGCTGGACCACAGAGCCGACGACACGCTCGGGGATCATCAGGTCGGGGGACGCTTTCGCGAAGGAGTTACGAGCGCACCCTGAAAGCCGCCGTCATCGCCACGTCCGATGTCCTCAGGACACTGTGATCACGACGGCACCTGACGACGACAGTGGCATGGAGCACAGTTGGCCATTTCGAGTTGAGAGTCTGACTAGGGTTAGCAGTATTCACATGCCTCTGGATTTCTTCGGTAAGTGCACGGCCACGGCGCAGAAGCGCACACCGCGCGAGGTATCCTAGCATTGCGACGGAGCTGGCATGGAACGAAGATTTTGAGATGGACACGCAGAAATGACCATGGACTGGGAAGTCTGGGGCAGTTTTCCAGGAGATCGTCAGACTTTTGCCATAAGGGAGCTGCACAGTACGGGACAGGGTCGTGGCGTACGTCACAGAGGATGAGAACGCGCGCGCAGGCTGGCGCGCAGATAGGCCCGCCGACCAGCAGGGAGAGAAAGTTGATGCTTGGTTGATGATTGGAGAGTTCCTGAGAACCAAAGGTGCTGCAATCCAGGTGTCCGTCTTGTTCGTCAAGTCACACTTGGAAGCGGTAGATGCGGTAGCAGGAAAATATGTAGGCAAACTGGTGGCAGATAATGCCGTGGCGGATGTCTTGGCAGGCTCAGGAGCTCAGGAGGCCCAAGTAGACCAAGCAATTAGAGCACGAGTGTTGAGCACGGGGCGCACGGCGAGCCTTGTGCAGATTTGCATTCTACTTAGCACGTTGGAAGCGAGTGTTGCTTAGAAGAGAGTTGAGGGCTCCAGGTCTCGCGTGAAGCTGGTCGCCCCCCGCCCGCCCTCTGGGACCTCATGTAGTTTCTTTTGCTCACAGCATGTCCCCACCGAATGTGGACGTAGGTGCTCCTGATGCAAGGTCGACATCTCGGGCCCCGAAGATGGCCTGGCTGAACTCTCCGTGTGTTCCGCTTGAGTTTGTTGACGGTGTGGTTTGGGCTCTCCCCCTTGGGCAACAGGTGTACATCTCGGGGGGGGGGGCTTGCACATACGCAACAGACACTCAGGCATCATGCTGGGCAGGAATATGGTTTTGTGCAGTTCGTGAGTATGTCTCTCCCTAGCATTGGTTACACTCGGTATATCGCACCCCCAAGGAGTGTTGACGGAACGATTACCTTACTAAAAATTGCATGGGTAGATGGCCCAAGCCTTTTTCAGTCGAGCGGATGAGTCCAAGCGAATAGCCGTTGGCAGTTCTGTTTGAGGTTGCTTGGCCCGAAAGTAACCGACCTGGTCGCATCGTAACTCCGTAACTCCTCAGACTCGTCCCTCCCCCGTTTCCCCTTCGTCCCGTCCCCTCGTGCCCCCGCATCCTCAAATTGCCCCGCCCCGTCGTCATTAACATCCTCAACCTCTCTCCTCATGCTCATCCTCAACCTGCCCAACCCCTATCATCCTCCCCCTGCCCCGTCCTCTCGTCTCTCTTCCTGGAGGAAGAGCCAGGGCGACAGCAGCAGCAGAGGGGGGCGGGCAGGGAAGGGAACGCAGAGAGCTTGTAGGGAATCGTGGCCGAGGGAACCCTGGCCGAGGGCAGCAGGGGGCACTTCGAGCCGATCGATTCGATGTCGATTCCAGAAGGCTCGATCCGATTCGATCCCGACGTTCTGAAGTCGAGGGGCCCCAAACAATGTGCTGATTTGGAGTTGGCTGGGTGTCCGAGGCAGGTCGGGTGGCGAGGTCCGAGGTTCTGGGTTCGAGAGTGCGTTCTGCTTCGACATCCAAGGGCAATTTGCGGGCCCCGGCACCGTCAAAAACGGATCTCGGGTGAAAGCTTACACCAGATGGATCCTGGGATGTGTCCTTGGACCGATCTTGAATAGATTTGGCTTCACCCTCCTCCTCCTCCTCCTCCTCCTCCTCCTCCTCCTCCTCCTCCTTCTCCTTCTCCTTCTCCTTCTCCTCTCCTCCTCATCCTCCTCCTCCTCCTCCTCCTCCTCCTCCTCCTCCTTCCCTCTCCTCCTCCTCCTCCTCCTCCTCCTCCTCCTCCTCCTCCTCCTCCTCCTGCCCCCTTTGACCGTTTTTTGTTCCGGGCCCGTTCAACTCGGAGCCCCTAGTCGTCTCCAAGTGGTGACCACATCGCGTGGTCAGTCAGTGGGGATGCGGGGTCACCACGCGGGTTTGGGGATTTGGGTAGTTTTCCGAGGATGCCTCGAGCGGTCCGGGCCTCCGAGGTCCCGAGGTCGTCGTGGATTCCGAGGTCACCTCGCGTAATGAAGAGGCGTTGCGGCCCCGTGCTTGCATGGCGTTGCTGCGCATCTTGCACGGCCGATCCGATCCGATTTCGACTCCGTGCCGATGCGGCCCGATCCGACGCACATGCCGATTCGGTGCGATCCCCCGATCCGCATGCTAAGCAGTCTTGCTTGCCCGAGGGAGGCGGAGGGAAGGTCGGCATGCCCATGGGCGGCATCCTGGGCCTGGACGACCACACGGAGGCGGCGACGCCGGAGGAGCATTGCAGGCGGAGCCTCTCCCTGTGAGGCCCTTCGGGCGCCCTGGGCTGGGGGGCGGGGGGCCGAGCGTGCGCGAGCTCGCCCAGCACGGGGCTCCCAGGACGGTCCCGGGGGCCCCCGGAGTCCGCCGGCGACGCCCGCGCGCGGGCGCCCGCGCTCCGAGGCCTCCGGCGTCCCGGGCGGGGCAGGAGCTGCAGCGCTCGGGGCGCCGCGCGGGCATCACCGGGGCACGAGAGCAAACCACGGACAAAAAATTGCAGCCGAGCATGTGATTCTTGGGCTTGCGCCGGGCCGCCGACCCCTTGGGGAGCTGACGGTTGTGGCGTGCTGTTCCGGAAGCCTTGTTTGTCGAATGGTCTTCGGCACATCCCGCCACCGCGCTTGGGCTGCGGGTCTGAGGCCGCCTGAGAGCGACCCACCAGCAAGAAATTCAGTCGGGCATCTGATTGAGAGACCTCCTCCCGAAAAGCTTGGCCAGCGTTCCTGGACCGTCTGGCAGGGAAGCTGGCCCGGTTTCCTGAGCACGCTTGCCCCTCCAGCGTTAGCAGCAGGAATGGGCCCAGGCTCTTTGCAAGAAACTTCTGAGAAGCTGCCTACGGCAAGTCCCGCCACCTTGCCTGCGCTGTGGGTTGCAAGCCTCGTGGCTGTTCGCTGGGATCTCGTGGGGGGCCTCTCGGGGGCCTCCCGGGGGCAGTTCTGAGGCCACCTCGGGGGCCGCTCTGGGGCCTCTTAGGGGAGCCTCTCGGGGCGTGCCTTGCTCCCCCTCCCGGCCCCAACCTTCGCCGCCCCGGGGCCCCCTGGCGGCGCCTACAGGCCCCGGGGGGCGCCCGGCACGGCACGGCCCGGGGCGAGGAGCGGCGGCGCCCCGCCGCGGGGGGAAGTGCCCCGAGAGCTCCGAGGGCGCGCCGCCGTGCAGGCTCGCAGCGTCGGGGGCCGTGGCCTCGCTCGGGCGCGTGCGGTGACGGTTGCCGGCGAGGGCCATCAAAAAATAACACAGTTTGTGTGCCAGCGCAGTTTCTTTTGCGGCGTTGGGCGCTCTGGCGCGGACGGCCGAACGACCCCTGCAGCGGGACACCCTGCCCACACGGTCGGCGCCGCAAAAACTGCGCGTTCCACGCTGGCGCCGCGCAAAGGAGGCGCCGAAGGCACCCATGGACCCTGACCTTGCAGAGTGCTAAGACATATGCTTTCCAGACTTCTAGATCCAGCTGGACTCGCGTCAAGCCTCGACAGGAAATGAGGGCGTCGAGGTCCTGGTGCTACTTTCTGGCCCTCCTGGAGGGTGAGGGGAGGAGCCCCTCGGGGCCCAAGAGATGGGAGCCAACGCAAAGGGGGCTCAGTCAGAGCGCCGGATGTTGCAGGATCCTGCAGGGCCAGGGGTGCACTGACCTGAGCTTGGGTGCAGGATCCTGCAGGATCGTGCATGATCCTGCAGATCCTGACTGACCCAGGTCTGGACTGGCCTGGGTCAGAAGATCCCGGAGCACATTGGATCATCTTGCAAAAGGGTCAAGACACGAAGTTGTTTCGCAATAGCGCCGCTCGGTTTTTTTGCGTGGTCGGTCCCCAGAGATCCGGGATTCTGGGAAACTTTGAGCGGCAGGTCTTCTGTTGCGATTTTTGGCCTCGAGGGGCCCTCGACGGGCCCGGGGACCGTCAAAAAACGACTCAGGATGAAAAAACAGAAGTTGTCCAGGCCCCCGGGGGTCCAAGCATCGAAAAAAATGGCGCGCCAGATGTGTGGGTTCGTGTTGTCGCGCGGCGGCGGCAGCCCTGGTGCGGGGGGCAGGTAGGGATTCCGTTTCGCTCAGAGGTTTCGGTTTTCTTCCGTGGTTTGGGTTTCGCGCAACGGTTTCGGCTTCCATGCGTTAGTTTTCGGTTTCGGCTTCGTCCGAATAGGTTTTGGGTTAAACGGTGAAGGCTTAGGTTTCACCAAATACATGTCCGTTTCAGATTGTTGTGTTGTTTGTGTATTGTGTTATGTGTTAAGTTGTTAATGGATGTGTGTTGTTTCTCCCCGTTTCTGTTTGCTCTTCGTTACCCGCCTCTTCATTCCCAACCATCCTGTGGTCTTGGGTCTTCGTTTTGAAGAGACACCGCCCCGCGTTCCTTTCTCTCCTCTACTCTTCCCTTTCCTCCCCTCTCCCCCTCCTCCCTCTTCCCTGCGTTTCCCCTACCGAGTACAGCGCTTCGTGGCCCCATAGGGAGCTCCGCCGAAGGCCCCAGCGGCACCGCCCGCATGCGTCACCCCCACCCCGTCCAGCGTTTCGTGGGCCGTAGGGGTTCCTCCGAAGGCCCCAGTGGCACCACCCGAATGCGTCACCTCCACCCAGTACAGCGTTTCGTGGCTCCCTATGGAGCTTCTGTGGAGCTCCCTATGGAGCTTCTGTGGAGCTCCCTATGGAGCTCCTGTGGAGCTCCCTTGGAACAGTTGAAGCACTTGCTGTTTGTAAGACAGAAGCGCTCCCACAGGAGAAAATAATTGAACATCCCAGCTCCAGCCTTGTTTTCGTTCCTGGCGCTGCGATTGCATCCAGGAAATCTTGCTTTGCCGACTATATTAACGCCACTCGCCCCTATGATATGCCAGATTGTTGCATTCGTTCTTTCGACCTCTTACCCCCACCTGCGACGCAAAAATATGTTGCCGTAGATTTTTTATCCGAGCCAAGATCCGAAAGCAATGAGCCAAAACAATTCCAAAATGGTTGATTGCGTCCACGTTGGTTGAATCAAATGTCTCAATCAAACACAAAAGAGGTTGTTCCAAATGTTTCCCGAAGCATTTGCTAGCTCAACATTCTTGTGGACCACTTGTGTCGTATCGGCCGTGCCCCGCACCCGGCCGTCAAACCAAATCGAATGTTTGTGAGTCGGCGCTCTGCACTAGCATCTTGTAATCTGTTGAATGAGAAGTTTGCCACCGTTTTGTATGCCCATGAGAGCTGACGTGGTGAGAGGAAGAGCCACGAACAGTCAAACAGCCGTTTCGAGCCGTCTTGGAGCGGTCTTGGAGCCTCTTGGAGCATCTTCGGAGCCATCTTGAGCCAGCTTTGGCTATCCTGAGCCATCTTGGAAGTCATCGTGGGCTCTCTGAGGCCGCTCGGGGGCCTCGTGGGGGCCTCTTGGGGGCCTCTTGGAGGTCCTCTCCGGGCCATCTTGGAGGTGATCGGTCAACAGAGGGGGTGTCCTCGATGTTCGCCCCCCCTGGGGCCACGATCCTTTTGGAGGGTGTCAAAAATTTGCCCTCCCAGTGGCAGAAAAAGGAGCTTCCAGCACCTCGCGAAACCTGCCAAAAATTTTCAAGGAGGGGAGAGGAAAGAGACCCTCCTTAGACCACCTCTCGCCCAAAGGGCTAGGGGAATTGTCGCAGGCGTGTCTTTTTGTTTTTTCTTATATATCGCTTGTACAAAAGAACCAAACAAATCCAACCGCTTCAAAAAGAAGAACCGACAAAAGCAAAAAGAAGACAACGGCTAAAGATATCAAAACGACAATCTTACCCATGACGCGTAAAACGACCGTGAAGTTCACACGCATGACAGCGAAATTGAAACACATTGCCGCCAAATCGAAATTTCACTAACGAAAAGGACGATTCACATACCCGATGGTTCCCTTTGCAAAGCAGATGTGCTAAACAAATTGTTTGCCGAGTACGTCGTTCTAAACTCTGCCGCCTTTGCCCCCGGCAGCGATCCGGAAAGCCTGGCCAGCGTTTCGGCAACACCCCTGGCGTGTTCCGAGTAAACAAACACAAGGTGCAGAAAAATGATTGGCCGCCTGCTGCCCGGAAGTTCCTTCCTTGCCCCTTTCATCTACTCATCGAAAGCTCACCAGCAAGCCGCGATTCCTTCTCCAGATTGCAAGGGAGCTCGGCTGCCCCCCCCTTGAACCCTGCCGCCGAAAATCGAAAGAGCACGAAACAAGAAGGCGCCGAAAATCGAACGAGCGCCGAAAACCAAAACAGTACCGGAAACCAAAACGGCGCCGAAAACCAAAACGGCATTGAAAGAAACGAGCGTCGAAAACCAAAGAGCCCGAAAACCAAAAGGGCGCCGACAGCCAACAAGGAGCCGAGCCGAAAACCAAAGGAGCGCAGAGCACCAAAAGAACGCCGGAAAACCGACAGGCGCCGAAAACCAAACGAACATTGAAAACCAGAGAGGCGCCGAACATCAAAAAAGGTTCACAGAGCCAGCGGGATGCCAGAAACCAAAGAGGCACCGAAAGCGAGAAGAGCGTTGAAAACCAACCATTTTGCGCGCCGATGTCGATAGTCTTTCACCTGGTGCAGAAATTACAGCATATTTGGATGACATCTATGTAGTCTGCGATCCAGAAAAGGTATCCTGGATTGTACGTATCGTTCAAGAAGAACTATTGCGAACATGCCATATTGATGTGAACATGGGAAAATTAGCAATTTGGGGTGTGACGCCCAACGCATGTCCACAACAATTTGAGGCAGATATGTCGGACGCATGGCGATCGGACAAAAAAGCAGGAGATCGGGGTCTTCGAGTGTTGGGATCCCCGTTTGGTTCCCCTGAATACGTCGCAAATTTTGGGGCCGAAACTGCTTGAATACATCACTAAGCTCTCTGATCTGCGAGTAGCACGGTTACTATTATATTACTGCGCAGTACCAGGGTTCAACCACATCCTGCGCACTACACTTCCGAAGTTGGCCCGTGCATTGGCTGAATCCCACGATGCGTCCATTACTGAAGCATTCCTAAACATATTTCGTATTCCACGTGCGGTTTGGAATGTTGACTTGCATGGAGTTTCTTACGATAATATGATGGTTCACGCGACACTTCTTTTACGCTTTGCCGGGATGGGGTTGCGAAGTGCACAACGGGCAGATTTGCCTGCCTATTGGGCGAGTTGGGCAGATGCGGTACCCGAGATAGCACATAGGTTTCCAGAAATATGAAATCAAATTGTCCACAGGCTCATCCAAGCGACTGGTCACAACGAAACAATGGTTGGACCAACGTGTCTCCGAAGCGCCGAAGAAGGAGGCCGACAATGCGACGCATCAGGATGGATTGATCGACCGACATGGGTTGCTTTGGCAACAGTGGCACGGCCACCGGAAATTGAGTTTAGCGAAGCCTTATCTAGGGGATTACCGACATGGATGGCAATACCATGCTACATCGCCAGTAGAACGTGCGACCCACGAAAAATAATTGAAAGACTGGCACCGCCAGGGGCACGCCGAAATGCGATATCGACA